CCGGTGGTGGAAAGGCGCGTAGGGGCGCGGGGAACGGGAAATAGATAGAACCCCGGCGTCAAACGCGTTGTGAGAGAGAGGCGGATTCGCGTGTGAGCGCCTGTGTCCTGTGGGATAGAACGCTCTACTCACCGCGAGCTCTATGAGAGCCGAGAGCACTGACGCGCTCTAACACCGACTCTGAAGCGCGGGGGTGCCGGCGACGCCCGTCGCGTTGACGCGTAAGCGGAAATGTACGTCGATATTCCTCCTCCATCCTCCTCCCTCACCCACCGAACTCTCCATTAGCGGCCACAATAGCGCGACGCCGAATATTATATGCGCGGAACGCCTCGTCCGTTTTCGAGATACACTCGGCTGTCGAGCCGGCGGCGACCGCGTTTATTTTGCATACCGGACCATTGTTCGTACGTCACGGACGATCCTCTCTCGTGTCGCGTAACACGCGTAATTTTCGCGCATGCATGCAAAATTTAGTCGATTGCATTGCCATATCGTTCAGCATCTCGCTGCGAAACCGATAGAGAGATGTGTAACGTATCTTTCCTAAAACTATTGTCATCCCACTTTATTTTTGTATCAAACTAATCCTCATGTACAATTTTTAGTTTTAATTTATAATTTTATTTTTTGTTAAATTGCTCGGAGCACACCGTATTTTTTCGCCATACACATATTGTATTTTTATGTTCACTCTGCGCATGGTTTGGGCACTTGAGAGTCATAAATGGGCGATACATCATTCGCAGAGCGTGCGAGGAATAAAACTGCTTTTCCGTTTTATTAATCATATAAAGTTTGCAATGTACGCATACGTGTACCACTTCAGTTCGCCGAAGAATCGAGCCTCTCATATCTAGCGAGGGGTAAGTCGCCCGGGCCAGGCGGGTCGCGCAAATGACACAAAGTGGACGTTCTTGAAAAGATAATGGCGCGGGCCATGCGTGAATGTAAGTGAAGTCGCTGGAAAGCGTGTCGAGCATTGTCCGGCGTATTACGCATTCCCTGTGTCGCGTCTTTAGAGAAAAGCCCAGCGTGCACGTTTGTAAGGCAGGTGTGTACACGGCGGAAGGCTATCGTTGCGTCGTCCGCTTCTCTTACTTGATACGAGTTTTGTGTTTACATCGTAAAATAACTCGCGAGGAGAGGTGGAAAAACAGAGTGGACGGACACTGCGTTACCGGGCGTAAGATAAATAGAACGCACGGACGAACAACCTCCAAATTAATTTCGAAATTCGCGTATCATTGGCGTGACAGCCGCCGGACGCTCTCTATATGTCCGCATAACGCAAAAAGTCACCTTACGAACATATAATTTCATTGCTAATTGCTTGTTTTGAGTAACAATACTCTGATAATTCTAAATGTGTTTTAAATTATAGATGCAAGTTACACCAACAACGTAAAATGGATTTTCACAGAGTTGAGCGAAACAAAAGAGTTTAAAAAGCCGCTAATAAAACGTCTAAAATATTACGTAAAATAATGTTCAAATAATAATCAAACTTTCTCACAATTTTTAGGCGTATTATGCAATGAGAAAAGTAATGAACACGTCGAAAAGAAAATTATGCAGACAAGAAAGGCTTCTGGGTAGAATAATTTTTGGCCCCAGCTTCATGAAAGCTCTTTCAATTATTTTTACAAGTGCCATCAGTCGCCTATGTTTATGTCAATACTTTGTCCACGCCCTGTACAATACACAGATAGAAGCAAAAGATTAACCGTGATTTACGCTAACCGCTGTTGGTGCACCTGTCGTTACGCAGATGTATTGAACTTTTGCGTTCAGCCTTTCTGGAATTCTCGCAGTTGTTATGGCGAACGAGCTGAAAACGAGTTGTTCGGGACTATAGAAAATTATCCGAGGTTCGTGACGCTGGTTATCGAGGCAGCCTCTTGGTAATAACGGTCTCGCTTGGTATTAGTGAAGTCGCAAAAGACATTGGCGCTTTATTCTTCGGTTGTGCACGCTCCACGGGTTCGCAGGACTTCCGGGACAAAACCGGAGGGTGGATAGCATTCGCATG